TCAGGGAAATTGCCAAATTCTCAGTGAAAGGAAGAGAGGCAGAGCAGAGAGCAGCCTAGAGTCTGCTGAAGTCTCACTACTGGGGAGACAAAAATTAAAGGTCAGGCCATCCAAGTCATCCAAGACGCCCATAGAAATAGAAATCCCCCAAAAAGCCTGATATTCTGCTCATTATTTTCTCTTAAGATATTTGCTAACTACTAACCCATGCATTCTCAGGGCCAGCAGCCAAGAAAACAAGTATAAAATAACTTCTAAGAGATTAAAAAGTCAAACAATGGTTTCAGGATTCTTATAATGTAGGGAAGAAAAAACTGGAGTTGAGGGCCTATGAAGGAGGAGGGGCCCTGAGATACCCTGTGTGTGGCAGCAAACAGAAACAGTCCAGATTACACAAAGCCTGAAATCCAGCCTGAAACCCTCTTAAATCTCTGTATGAAAGAAAGTCATTTGCCTACATTTAACTGCCTAACAAAAGAAAATCAAATATTTTCTACCTTCCTCTGGAGGAAGACAGTTGTCTCTAAAAGTTATCAAGCACAATGTCCAGCAATCAGTAAAAAATTATCAGTTATGTCAAGAAACAGGGCCAACTGATGGTAAACTTAGCTAAACAAAGAAGCAAGCAATCATTAATAAATACAGACTCACAGATTACCCAGATATTGTAGTTATAGGATATTGGTTTTAAGATAATTATGATTGATACATTATAAAATATATGTTAAAAATGCAGAATATCTTCTGAGAGCTGGAATTTGTAATAATGAGTTAAGTGGAAATTTTAGACCAAAAAATACAGACTGAATTTAGGAAATTAATAGATAAGTTTATGAGCAGGGGAGGGAATTAAAGAACTAGAAAATTATAGAAAACATTTGTATTGAAGCTCAGAGAGAAAAAGTGTTGGAAAAATATAGAAAATAATTCAGGCACTTGAGACCTGATGAAAATTTTCTAATGTAAATTAGAGTTCTAGAAGAAGAGAAAGATATTGGGACAGAAAAAATATCAAGGAGATAATGGCTGAAACTTGTAAAGTGACAGAAGATATGAAACAACAGATTCAAAATGTTTTACAAACCCCAGGAAGGATAAAATAGAAAGAAAATCACAACTAGATCCATTATAGCAAAAGTGCTTAACAACCAAAGACAAAGAAAAAAAATGCTTAAAAGTAGCTAGAGAAAAAATGTACATTACTTTTAAAGGGCAAACAGTGAGATTCATATGCGGACTTTTCAACAGAAACTCTGGAAGTCTTAAGACAACAAATATCATTTTTTAAATGCAAAAAGAAAATAATTGTCAACTTAGAATACTATACTCAGCAAAAATATCTTTCAAAATAAAGAAAAATTAAAAATATTTTCAGACAGATAAAAACTGAAATAATTTAACATCAGCAGTAAAATCATACTGAAGAAAGTTATGCAAGCAGAAAGAAAATGACTCCAGATGGGAAATAGAGACATGCAAAAGGAAATGAATGATTCTAGAAAGGATACAAATATTAAAAGTAATAATAATAATAATGTCTTTTTGGTTTAAAATATATGTAGAATTAAAATATGACAACAATTGTACAAAAGACAGAAAAGAAAGTAAATGAAGTTAAAGAATTCAAGGTCCTTTCCTATATCTAGAAAAAGTGCCGATTTTAGTAATTTTAGACAATAATAAGTCAAAAATGCATGTTGTAATCTTTAGGGTGACCATTAAATGATAAATGATCTTTTGTAAGCTAACAGAGCAGGAAATGAAATGATCCAGTGAAGGCAACAAAGGGAAAGAAAATAGGAATAAATAACAGAACAAATAGAAATAAAAAGTAAGATACTGATTATGAACTAATGTATTAGTAATTACATTAAATGCAAATGGACTAAACATACCACTTTAAAGCCAAAAATTGTCAGACCAAAAACAAAACCCAACCATGGTGCTTGTAAGAGACACATCTTAAATACGAGAACAAAAAAGACTGAAAGTATAAGAATCAGAAGATGTTAACAATGCAACTGTAGAAGAGAAGTTAGAGAATAGATTTCATTTACAATAACACCAAAAACCATAAGATACCTCAGAATAAACCTAACCAAAGAGGTAAAGGATCTATACTCCAGGAAATACAGAACACTCATGAAAGAAATTGAAGAAGACAAAAAAAGATGGAAAAGCATTCCATGCTCATGGATTGGAAGAATAAACATTGTTAAAATGTCTATGCTGCCTAGAGCAATCTATACCTTCCGTGCCATCCTGATCAAAATCCCGATGACATTTTTCAAAGTGCAGGAACAAACAATCCTAAAATTTGTATGGAATCAGAGAAGACCCTGAATCGCCCAGGAAATGTTGAAAAAGAAAAACAAAGCTGGGGGCATCACATTGCCCAATTTCAAGCTATATTACAAAGCCATGATCACTAAGATAGCATGGTACTGGCAAAAAAACAGACATAGAGACCAGTGGAACAGAATAGAGAGCCCAGATACGGACCCTCAACTCTATGGTCAAATAATCTTCGACAAAGCAGTCGAAGTCTCTTCAATAAATGGTGCTGGGAAAATTGGACAACTATATACAGAAGAATGAAACCCAACCATTCTCTAACACCATACACAAAGATAAACTCAAAATGGATGAAAGACCTCAATGTGAGACAGGAATCCATCAAAATCCTAGAGCAGAACACAGGCAGTAACCTCTTTGACATCGGCCACAGCAACTTCTTTCAAGATACATCTCCAAAGGCTAGTGAAACAAAAGCAAAAGTGAACTTTTGGGACTTCATCACGATAAAAACTTCTGCACAGCAAAGGAAACAGTCAAGAAAACAAAGAGGCAACCCACAGAATAGGAGAAGATATTTGCAAATGACACTACACATAAAGGGCTGCTACCCATGATCTATAAAGAACTTCTCAAACTCAACACCCTAAAAAACAAATAATCAACTCAAAAAATGGGCAGAAGACATGAACAGACACTTCTCAAAAGGAGACATACAAATGGCTAACAGACACATGATAAAATATTCATCATCATTAACCATCAGGGAAATTCAAATCAAACCACACTGAGATACCACCTTACACCAGTTAGAATGGCAAAAACTGACAAGGCAAGAAACAACAAATGTTGGAGAGGTTGTGGAGAAAGGGGAACCCTCTAACACTGTTGGTGGAAATGCAAGTTGGTACAGCCACTTTGGAAAACAGTGTGGAGGTTCTTCAAAAAATTAAAAATAGAGCTACCCTATGACCCAGCAATTGCACTACTGGGTATTTACTCCAAAGATACAGATATAGTGAAAAGAAGGGCCATATGCACCCCAGTGTTCACAGCAGCAATGTCCACAATAGCCAAACTGTGGAAAGAACCAAGATGCCCTTCAACAGATGAATGGATAAAGAAGATGTGGTCCATATATACAATGGAATATTACTCAGCCATCAGAAAGGATGAATACCCAACTTCTACATCAACAGGGTTGGGACTGGAGGAGATCACGCTAAGTGAAATAAGTCAAGCAGAGAAAGTCAATTATTGTATGGTTTCATTTACTTGTGGAACATAAGGAATAGCATGGAGGACATTAGGAGAAGGAAGGGAAAAATGAAGGTGGGTAATCAGAGGGGGAGACGAACCATGAGAGACTATGGACTCTGAGAAACAAACTGAGGGTTTTAGAGGGGAGGGGAGTGGGGGATGGGTTAGCCCAGTGATGGATATTAAGGAGGGCATGTACTGCATGGACCACTGGGTGTTATATGTAAACGGTGAATCATGGAACACTACATCGAAAACTAATGATGTACTGTATGGTGACTAACATAACATAATAAAATTAAATTAAATTAAATTAAAAAAAATCAGAAGATGTATATATACATCACATAATGAAAATACTAGTCCAAAGAAAGTCAGTGTAGCTTTCTTATATCAGATAAAGTAAACTTTAAGGTTTGCCAGAGATAAATAGGAATATTTTATAATGATAAAAAGTAAATTCAATTGGAAAATGTAACCATGATAAATTTTATGCACCCAATAACATGCCCTAAAATATGTAAAGCAAAATTTGACAAAAATAAAAAGAAGACAGAAAAATCCACATAGTTTTTATTTTAAAAACAATTTTCTCAGAAAATAATAATTGAATAAATATCTAGTAGACATCTAGAATATTTGAAAAATAATTATTATATGACTTAATTAACAAAATTAATATAGTATACCTGAACAGCAAAGAATATACATTGTTCTCATGTACATGGAAAATTCACTGAGATTTCTGGGCCAAAAAGTAAACTACAAAGGGTTGCAATTACAAAGTCTTTGCTCTCTCATATCATTGGAAATAAGGTAGAAATCAATAATAACAAAAACAACAAAAAACTAGGAAATCCCTAAATATTTGGAAACTATGTGATACACTTCTAATTACCTCATGGCTCAAGGAATAAACTGCAGTGGAAATGAGAACATATTTTAAATGAAATGATTATAACAATAGGGCCTATCAAAATTTATGACATATACAAGAAACTGTAAGTAGAGTGAGATCTATAGTTTTGTACATTAGAAAAGGAAATGTCTGAGCTAGGTATCCATCTCAAGAAACCAGCAAAGAATAGTATATTAAATTTAAAAAATGATGACAGAAGGAATTAATAAAAACAAGAGAAGAAATAAAAGAGAAAATAAACATAAATTAACAGAGTTAAATTTTGGGGGGAGGGGCAAAGAACTGATAAACCCTTAGAAAAACTGATCAAGAAATGAAAATGAGAAAGAATATATAACCACTATGAGAAATGAGAGGAATAATATTTTTATATATACTATAGACATTAATACCGTGAGTATTTTCAGCAAATTGTGTTATAGCAATTGGACATCCATAGACAAAAGAAAGTGAATTTCAATATGAATCTTATACCTTGTAAAAAAATTAACATAGATCAGAGATTTAAATATAAAAAGCAAACCTAGTGCTTGCTTCGGCAGCACATATAGTAAAATTGGAACGATATAGAGAAGATGAGCATGGCCCCTGTGCAAAGGTGACACACAAATTCGTGAAACATTCCATATTTTTACAAAATAAATAAGATGGCCAAAAGTAGTGATAAAGAGAGAGATAATTTTTTTATTATGTTAATCACCATACATTACATCATTAGTTTTTGATGTAGCGTTCCATGATTCATTGTTTGCATATAACACCCAATGCTCCATTCAGTACATGCCCTCTTTAGTACCCATCACCAGGCTAACCCTTCCCCCCACCCCCTCCCCTCTAGAACCCTCAGTTTGTTTCTCAGAGTCCATAGTCGAGAGAGAGAATTTTGAAAGCAGCAAGAGAAAGGAAATCAGTTACATACAAGGGAAATCCCATAAGGCTATCAGTGGATTTTTTAGCAGAGAGCGGCATGATATATTCAAAGTGCTAAAAGGAAAAAATCTGCAGCCAGGAATACTTCATCCAGCAAGGGTTTCATCCAGAATAGAAGGAGAGATAGAGTTTCCCAGAAAAACAAATGTTAAAGGAATTCATGACCAGGAGCAAAACCAGCCACATCCCCATCGCATACAATGCCATCAGCCTGTGGGTTCCAAATCCACAGTCTAGCCACCCTCCTGCCTGAGTCAGCATGCACTGCCTGCCATCTGCTCAATGTCAAGTCAACATGCCTTCATCTCAAATCAACAAGGACTCAAACTGACACTCTTCCTCTCAAATTCCAACCCCTGTGCTAAAGTTTGTGTACAAAAGTGGGCATAATTATGACAGCAGAATGAAGCGACCCAAATAGTGACACTAATTCTGTGGAATATATAATGGATAAAAAGAGTGTGTTAGGCTGAGAACATCGCCAACAAGCACATCAAAGAACAATACATACAACATGAGGCTGATTACTAAAAGAAACAAACCCAGGAAAAATAAAACAAGACGAAATCAGAGAAGGAGACAAACCATAAGAGACCCCTAATAATAGGAAACAAACTGAGAGTTGCTGGAGGGGATGGGGGTTGGGGAATGGGGTAACTGGGTGATGGACATTAAGGAGGGCACATGATGTAATGAGCACTGGGTGTCATATAAGACTGATGAATCACTGAACTCTACCTCCAAAACTAGTAATACATTATATGTTAATTAATTGAATTTAAGTTAAAAAAAGAAACACCCCCGCAAAGTAAAACTTTAGAATTTTTAAAAGAAAATCTTAAAGGCGGGGCTAGATGAAGAGCGCTTATATATGACACCCATAGCATGGTCCATAAAAATAAAAACTGACAAATTGGACTTAATCAAAATTTAAAACATTTTCTCTGAGAAACACTTTGTTAAGATGAATAAAGACATGGCAGACCTGGAGAAAATATTTGCAGACCACACATCTCATAAAGGATCTGTATCTGGAGTGTATAAAGAATTGTAAAATTCAATAGTAAGACAAATATTCCAGTTAGAAAATGGGCAAAGACATGAACAGACATCTTACCAAAGAAAATATGCACATGAAAAGATGTTCAGTATCATTAGCCATTGGGGAAATGCAAATTAAAATGACCATGAGGTATTGTAACACACTTTTTAGAAGAGCTAGAATAAAAAACAGTGACAATAGTAAATGCCGGTAGGGAGGCGGAGAAACCAGATCTCTCATACATTTTTGTTGGGAAAGTAAAATAGCACAACCACTCTGGAGAATATTTTGGCAATTTCTTATAAAACTAAGCCTACGCTTACCTGATGATCCAGCAGCTGGACTCTTAGATGTTTATCCCCAAGAAATCAAAACATATGTCCATTCAAAAACCTGTACACCAGTTTTCATAGCAGCTTTATTTGTAAGAGCCTAATAACTGGAAATGACAGAAGTATCCTTCCATGTTAGCCACTTGACCAAACTATGCTACATCCACACAATGGAATACTACCCAGAACTAAAAAGGAACAAACTATGAATGCATACAACAACTTTGATGGATCTCAAGGGTATTATGCTGAATGGAAACAATCTCACAAGTTACATGCTGTATGGTTTGTGTAGTATTCTCAAAATTCTATGTAGTAGTCTCAAAATGAGGTAATTACAGATAAAGAACAAGTGAATGGTTGCCAGAGGTCAGGATTGGAGTGTGAGGGGAGGGATATAGTATGGGTGTGATATGAAGGATAGCAAGAAAGAGATCTTAATGGTGATGGAACAGCTCAATATCTTGATTGTGGCAATAGTTACACAAAGGAATACATGTGATAAAATTGTATATAACTGCAAGACATACACCCACAAATATACATGAGTGTGTGCAAGAAAGAGATCTTAATGGTGATGGAACAGCTCAATATCTTGATTGTGGCAATAGTTACACAAAGGAATACATGTGATAAAATTGTATAGAACTGCAAGACATACACACACAAATATACATGAGTGTGTGTAAAAACTAGTGAAATCGGAATGACTGTGACCTTTACGCATAAGCAGAGTATTCCACATCTAGTAGGTATTCTGCAAATACTCAATGAAGGGATAAATGAATAAATGAGTGAAGGTATTAAATGTAAATGGTTTCGAGAAATGATCTCATGAGTCACTGACTCATAATGAATTGCAAAAGAGGCTAGGTATATTTATATTTTATTCTTAAACCTCTTAGGAATAACTGTTCTACCATAACATGTTCCTTAATGTGCTTTTCAAAAGCAGAAGACTAGACTGAACAGCTGAAAGATCGGGCTTAATATGAAATTGCTCATGTTCTTCTTTATTTCTTCCTGTTCAGTCATAGCTGTGACGGAACAAAGGAACCATATTGACCTAAATCAGGTGTAGGGTAGTACAGACAGCTGGCATCACATGACAGAAGAAGACATTTAGCATTTTCTTTCTTTTTTTTTTTTAAAGATTTTATTTATTTATTTGATAGAGAAAGAGAGATAGCAAGAGCAGGAACACAAGCGGGGGAGTGGGAGAGGGAGAAGCAGGCTCCCCTCTGAGCAGGGAGCCCAATGCGGGACTTGATCCTAGGACCCTGGGATCATGACCTGAGCCAAAGGCAGATGCAAAGTACAGGGATCATGACCTGAGCCAAAGGCAGACTGAGCCACCCAGGCACCCGACATTCAGCATTTTCTAAATAAAGTCTTTTTAAGACTTCAGTTTAAGATTATCTATTCGTGTCAACATTCAAGAACCCCTGCATTTTGAGGGTCTGAGTGACCCAGCAGATAAGTACACCAGCCTCAAGGTTGGAAGATTGAATCCAATTTCTGACCACCAATGGCTTAAGTCAGTACGTGGAAAGACTGATGTCATTTCTGGTTGTGCTTTTCTATCCACACCATTCCTGACTTTTAGCATGGCTTTGTACTTTTAATACTATCGTAATGCAGGATAGAATTTTTTTATAAGTAAATGAATTAATGAATTCCCCTTGAGCTCTAATGTTTGGTAGTTTGAACATCTTTAGCCTTAGTACACAGCACTTAAACTGAAAATATATCTTTAAAGGCAGAAGACTTACATTTGTGGTAAACTAGCCTTTTCCTAAGTTATCAATACCATACTCGTAATCATTCATTCAAAGAAAAGTGGTTGAATCTGTTTTTGGCAGTAATGGAGATACAATAATAAAATGAGATCACCCTAAAGGTCTGTACAAAGTAACCGTGAGGCAGACATGCAGATATACACTTCCACTACTGTGTGATGATACTGCCTATGAGGTATGTAGGAACATCAAGAGAAAGTGCCTAATTGTGCTCAAAACATCAGGGAAGAATTCCCACAGGGGCAGAGGCTGGAGAGGAGAGTTGAAAGATAAGCAGGAGTTGGCTTGGCAGACAATGAGACAGCATTCCAGAGTGAAAGAACTGATAGATGCCAAAGTTCAGGCTGTTAAAAACCTGGGCATGCTTAGAAGTGGAATGTACTTGGAATGGCTAGTGCAGTGCTTTTCAAACTTATTTTTGCTCTCTTGTAACCCCTAAAACACTTTTGAAAAACTCTGAACCCCTTCATACATTCTAAGAGCAACATCTAAAATACCAGCAAAGAATGTAATTCCTGCCGTATTATTTTAAGTTATCGACAATTAAAGATAAATTTTAAATCTACTCTCCTAAATGAAACTTCAGTAACATAATGATTTCATAATCACCATCATTCACAAATTGATGGCCATGCATTTTTTTTTAACATTGGGAAATTATTCATTGCACCTTTTTCTGTTTGAATTTGTGTTTCCATTTCATTTCTCCTGTAGAACTTTATACTGATGTAACATATGCATATTTTTAACATCTTTAGTCATCTATTTCTCTGCCAAAAACATATTTTAAGTAAAACAACTCTTTTGTGATCATTTTTTAATTAAACTTTTTATTTTAAGATAATTGTATATCCACATGTAGTTCTAAGAGATAGTACATAAAAATTCTACATACCCTTTACCTATTGTCTTCCAATGGTAACATCAGCAAAATGATAGTACAATATCAACACCAGGATATTAACATTGATACTGATCATAACTTATAAAGTGTTAAAAGATTTATTCTCTATGAGTTATCTTTTCAAATGATTGCTTGTCCAAAATTGATCAAAACAGTCTTTTAAAATGTTGCTTAATAACTAGTAAACAAAATGAGGAATGCGTATTTTAATGAGATAAATGTGGCTTTCCTTCCCCAAATTAGTTCTTGTCTCTGTGGATGAATGTAATTATTGCTACACTGAAACAGGATTTAGCACCAGTTATATTGCTTTTTTTTTCTTCCGTAGCTCTGAGTGTTGAGAAATTTGTTCACATAAATAAGTAGATGGGAAAAAAATGGACCTATTTGATTGACTGAATGGATAATGACTGCCAATGTAGAAAATACAGGAAAAGGAGAGCAAATGCAGAGCTAGTTTAATTTGGATATGTTGAGTTTGGGATCTCTGCAATCTGACTATGCAGGGACTTTCACAGAAGCAGGAGGAGGAGCAGGATTCAGGGGTATACCAGAAACCTAAAGAGAGAGAATTTTGAGAAAGTCCCCAGTGGCCCACAAATGCAGCTGCTGCAGAGAGATGAAAT